ATAAAACAATGAAAAAATAAAAAAAATCCCTACTTTCTCTCTTTTCTATGTGCGTTCATATTGTATTAATTTGTAAATGTCATATTTGGCATTTGGCATTAGAAGTTATATTACTAATAACTGGCATATGAGAAGTTTAATACCACAGAAAAAATAAAATAAAATTGGCCTTTTTCGAAGCTGCTGTATATAAAAAACACAAGGTGAATTTGCATGATATTTAGATAGCTGAAGCTTATAGACGTTCATTAATTTCCCTCAATTTAATTAATTTTTTAGCACCCCCCTCTGAACTGTTAAGCCCCTCCTTAGCACCCCCAACAAAAAATCCTGCGCCGCCACTGTACGTGACAAGAAACGTTTGCGTTTTCGACTATTAGACACGAATAAGAGTGAATGTGCACATTTTAAAATAAAATATTATTTTCAAATAATGTAAATTGATTGCTACTTCATATGAAGAGTTCAGATGCAAAAGTCTCTAAGTGCCGTTTGAAATTTTCTTCTAAAATGGGCATTTTTATCAGGCTACTATAGGTTCAGTAATTTCACTTTAATGGCAATGAATAGTTTATTTTCTTTCCCATTAAAGTAAAACTGAACATAAACATAGGAGCCTGAGAAGATAACAATTTTAGAAGAAAATTTTAGATGGCACTTAGAGGCTTTTGCGTCTGAACTCTTCATATAGGCTATAACTACAAACCTAGAACTTATTTTAGCATTCTTATTTGCTTATTTAATTGCTTTATTATTATTATTATTATTATTATGAAGTAGATCTTAGAATTCTTATGAGCGTGTGCGTGACCGTGATTCGTGTGCAAGCATGTCAGTGAGCACGGCATCACAATTGATCAGATGCGTGTTAAAGTTGCGTTCGTTACTATAGCAAAGAAAATAGTTTCTGATGCTGTCAATGTTGTTTTTGGAAGTTACATTAAAAAAATGCAGTTAGCTCAAAAAGCTGAGGGCACAGGACAGGCGTTGTTTGGATGAGCATGATGCTTGTATATTTAGTGCATGGCGTGTGTGTTTCACTATAGCTCCGTTCCCATGGACACCTTTTGTTTGACCTAATTCTGGATATTTCCAGCCTAAGACGTGTGATTAATCCGTATCTAAAGCCGTGTCTACACCAAGAGAAGCATTTATAATCAGTTGATGCGGTGACTGTCCACACGGGAAGTGGCGCGAGGCGACAAATCTTCTACAGTAACTGATGCCTCCTTCTATTCCGAATCTTGGAAACATGCATTGTATGTGATGAAAGTGAAACCTAAAAAAACAGTGCGCATAAGAAAGCGATTGCACGCTTTCTCGAGTTTCAGGAAATGCAGGCGATCACAGATTGCATGCTTCCCAGCCAAAACAACCCCCCACTTGAAACTTAAATAATAACCTGTGATATAAGATTTTGGCCATATTGCCCAAGTCATTCATCCCACACTATCAACAGGCGCGTCATGTAGGCTACACTTCTTGTACTTCGTTTGGGCACCACAAGGTGTCACTGTGGCCTCAAATCTTACCCCTCGCCTACTCTGGCTCGATTGCTATTCCTGAGGTAAAACACGCCCTCCTCATTACCTTACGGACAAAGAAATGTAGAAATAAATAAATGTGAAAATAAATAAATGTAGAAATAAATAAAAGTGGAAATAAAGAAATAAATATGTAAATAAATACATAAATGCGAAAATAAATAAAAGTGGAAATAAATAAATGTATAAATAAAAAAATGTGGAAAAAAATGAAAAAAATACATAAATAAGGAAATAAAATTATAAATAATTATTTATTTTAGCTTTTTTTACTTTTCTTTGTATATTTATTTATATATTTATTTATTTATTTTTGCTTTTTTACATTTCTTTGTACTTTTATTTATTTATTTCTAATTATGGCAGGATTGGCATTCCATACTAACACAGGAAAGACATGATCAGTAGGGGGCAGTCATGTAACATACTGTACTGAAGCGGCAGAGAACATTAATCACCGCGAGTCTATTGAAATTTATTGCATGTATTACGTGAAGGCCAATAACATATTCATGATTCTTTTATCAATAATATCATCACGTGTTTATCATGACAGTTTGATCACTGAAAAATCACTTCAAAAGTATTACTCTACAGCCTTTTTTAAATTTTTTTTTATCATGCTTCACTATAGGTTGTGGATTATCTAAAATCACAATCTAAAATGTAGCTTAATGTGGTAAGAACTACGACCAGAAAACCAACATAAAAAAAAAAATCGGTTTAATTTAAAAGTTTAAATATCCCGTGTTGCTGGCGAAGGCCGTTTTACACTAAGAGAACAAAAAAATTAACAAAAGAACGTTTTTATTTTCAATCGCGAGAGAGTGGTTTAGTGAGTAGACCTAAGTACAGGGTTTTGTTAATGCTAGGCCTATCCTTTGACGCGAGTGACATCTGACAGACAAACAAAATTAATTTTTGCTACATGATGTGACCTAAAATCATTTACAAAAATAAATAAAGACAGGATCTGTGTTTTTGTAAGTGCAAATGAAGTGATGAAGCAGAGGAAAACAGCCAGTTTCTTTTTCCACAGTCTCACGGTTTACAGACGTTTTACAGTAGGCCTGTTCCACTAAAAATGGCTGGGTAATTATTGGGTTATTTTTTAGTGATTGGTAGTTTTGTCGGGGTTTATTTGTTCCTGTTTGAAAACATTCATTTTAAAAGCTGGAAACCTGTTAAACATATTCATTTAGTTCAGATAATTTAGCACGAACTGATGAAAACAAAACAAAACATAAAAAACAAACATAAAACAATTGTAGGCCGGTATGGATTCTTTAATTTCCTATAATTTAAGCATTATTTTACTGTAATAAAATGTAATAAAAACAGAGAATAAAACCGGAAATTAAACCGCATGTTTCTGAACAGAGAACACGGAATAAAACTATAGAAATAAAAATTAAATTTATAGGCCTATACACAAAATACGTCTCACTTGAATCATTTACAGATTAAAAAAAAAAAAACGAAAGAAAAAAATGTGCTGAGGGACATTGTGACGTGCTCCGAAGTTCACAGAAAGGAATCCGAGACTGCAGAAATTAAGCGGCATCCTGCTTGTTTTCTTTATTTTGCAAAAGCTTTACAGTTTTGAATTATGTTTTGCTAACAAGAAACTATACTTAACCAGAGGTCGAGAGCTGTAGTTCCAACCACATAAGATTGCGACGCTGTTTGTGAATGTTCGTTTGAACTATGGTTTCGGGAAACACCGAATCGTTGAACCATGTTTGTAACGACGCGACGGACCTTGCGACCATAGTTGGCTAACAATGCTTTTGGGAAACACACCCCTGGACGTGGTGTTTAACTACAGAATGTTGTTCCTTGCGCCACCTGGTGGATATTGTCTGAAGCACAACAATGTTTAAAAAAAATCTGAAAAAGCGCCTGCAGGGAGCTCCGTGATCACGCGTGGCAAATTGCAGGCTGCCGCGTGAAAAAAGACGCGTTCTCAGCGGCCAGATCTGTACTTAAGCAGTTAGTGCAGATAGATTTGTAACCCATCACCACTTTTTCACTGTTCTTTCAATGACCAGAATCAGATTTATAATATTACTAGTACTGTAGTACTACCTTTAGTAAATGCTCTGCAGGAAAGAGCTAAAATATTCAACAGTACCCGTCCACTGTTTTAGCCGCCTTAGTTCAGTATTTCTGATTAATTTTTTCTTCATAAGCATTTTTCCCCATATGCAGAAATTCTTTAAAAAAATTAACCATAGAAATTCCAACATAAAAAAAATATTTAAAAATCAAGACATTAATAATTATTTGCGATGTCATAATCCAGAGGAATGTTGGAAACTAAGAAACAGAAAATTTCACACTAGCCTTGAAAACAACTGGGAACGTTTTATTGCTGGAGATAGTTGTCAGGGGTTAAAACAATAACTGATGAACTGAAAAAAAAAAACACAAAATCAAAATGACAGCACACAACTCTGAGTGCTGTGATGATAACAAAAAACAAACAAACAAAAGGAATGAATATACATGAGAAAAAAAGAGGAATTGCAACTACTGCCAGCACGAATGGTCATAATGCAACAAAGCTAAAAGACTGCACGACAACAGCGCAACATGGTGAAAATCATAAATACACAGAATGAGACACAGACCAAAAATTAATAATTGTGAATTTCAGAAATGTGGTGGCAGTAGGAATCCAATCCATCATCCACCTTTATTTTATGAGCTCTTGTAACCTTATTTAAATAGAAACCAAGAACCAGTTGTAAAATAACCAGTAACATGGAGCTTTGCTAGTGTGGAGGGTGATTTCAACCAGTTTACATCTTATGGTTTTCGAACATCTGACTCCATAACACCATCGAGACAGATTAACATACAATACTCTTCTATAACACTTTATGCAAGTACAGTGCGGTCCAAACGTCTGGGACCTCAGAGGTAAAATTCTTCTATTTTGCATTTATTTATTTATTTTTGTCATAAAATAATATCATAATAACAAGCAATTTGAATGAAATTTTATTTTTTTTTAAATTTCATAGTATTTGGTAATATTACGATTTTTATTTTTTTTGGCCCGACACTGACTCCATACGTTTCAACAAAAGCCAGCTGTTGTTATCCAGCATAATTTGTGTACATCAATGGAAGCAGGGAAATCTGACCCCTTCAGATTTGAAGTTAGACACATTAGCTTACCTGATTAGCAACACAGAAATTAATGCAGAACCATAAATATTTCTTTCTTCTTCGTTGTTCATAATATTACTTTATTTATTTTTTCTCTTAAAAATCCTGAAACCTTCTGTTAATTTCCCTGCTTATATTTGGTTTTGAATCTCAGATTTTCAATGTGGGCTCAGACTTTTGGACTTCACTGGATGAGCTACACTGAACTAGGTGTTTGTTCAATTTGTACAGAAAGTGTATGAAAATGTCACAATCAACTGTTATGTACAATAATGAGCTACAAAGTACTGCATCTATGATGTAATAAAATATGTAAACATTTATTGTTTGACACAGGTGACTGTGACAACATGAAATATACACTTGTTCGCACTGAATTTGTCTCCCTCAAATAAATTCATATTTCAGCCCTCCTTCAGTCATCGGATTGCTTCGTTCACACTTGATCCATATGTGAGTTGTGTGTGTGTAGCAAATGACTTAGTCAAAACTGAACTGAATTTAATGTTGAATGTCTCATTTTCCATTTGTAAAAGATGGATGCTTTTCAGTTGAATCTGGCTATACATGACAGAGCTCAATCAGAATACGAATGTTAAAGCAAGTTAGTTCCTTGACAGACACCGGAAGAAAAAATGATGAAAAATAAAAGCAGAAACAAACAAAAATGAGTATGTTAATACAATTTAAAAAGTCATTTTTCCACAGTAAAGCCCTGAAACACATATTCCAAAAAAACACAATAAAAAAAGACAATAAAACCATTTGTTTAATGGAACACTTCTTCTCCAGCATGGGTTAGAAAGGTACTGTTTTATGGCAAATTTTCCCACTTTGCATCTCCAAAACAACATCTTCTATTTCTCCTCTTTGCAAAGATATCAGTACTACATCACACACATCACATGCATGTCCAAAATCATGACCATTACCCATGATCATCATTGATTTGTACAGGGTTACAATGGACAAGGGTTGCTTTGTTTTTTGTTTTTTTTCCTTCGTCTTTTTTTTACACCAAGGATTTTGTACCTCAGAAAGTCACTTGACGGATAACAATGTTGCAATGAGATATTTTACACTGGCATTGTCCCACAACCAGACAGAAAGTAAGGTATCAAGGTCCCCAGAGTTCTATTTGCCTTCTCCCTATGCTTACCGTATGCTTAAGTGTGCTTCAAATCACATAACTCGGAAATGGGTTCATTTTGACTCAGTGTGTTTGAGCTTTTAAAGGATTTTCTGTGTAAAATCACTGTTTTCTGTTCAAGATTTCTCAGATGTTGTTCTGTCTCTGTTTTGCCATTCGGATTTTTGTTTTATACATAGTATTCCTTGTCCTTGTCTTTGGGTCTCTTGTTGCTGGCACCCTTAGTGTTGGGCTGTTTGTCTTTGACTACTGTGCCATTATTCTGTGCAGAATTGCTAATGTAGTTCCGTGTTTCATCTACCTGATAGGAGCCCTCGTCCCTGTTCCTGTATTTGTACATGGCATAGAGGAGGATGAGGATGCACAGGGCGGCAGCAGAGATGATACCCACCACCATACCCGTAGTGCTGCTGGACTCACGTATTACCTCCGAGGCACCAGGAGGCACTCTCCTGATACCTGGCATGGTGGGCAGAGCACTGGGGATGGTGCGCAACATGGGCTGGGTGATGTACGGCCCCTTCGGTTTGGTGCCGTCCATGTCGAAAGACGTGGGGAGTGGTAGTAGCACTATGTCGGGTTGGGGTTTGATTTCACGGTTGTTCATTTTCCCAGCTGGGATTTTAGGAGCGGTCTCGAGCGTGACGGGTGATGCAGCTGAGCTCCTGAAGTCAGGCAGAGGCGGGATGGCCGTAGTCCTGCCTGCCTCAGAGGCCTTGCTAGGTTTAAAGTCCTTTACTTCCCACTTGGGCGCGAGAGCTTTGTAGCCACCTTCGTAGGTCGACGTGGTCAAGATCTTATCTGTTACCAGGGAGAAGGTGGTGTAAAAATCTTCATCATCAGTAGGGGGGAGGCTAGAGTCGAAGGCCTCCCCAGAGCCAAACCCCGATATCACCAAGCCATCACCATCATCGTCACCATCATCATCATCACAATCATCGCTGCCTTGGTCCGACAAGCAAGGTACCCCCGCCTCGGTGGCAATTGACAGGGACTCTTTGGTGGTCTCAATAATGGTGAGGACGGGGTGAAGGGTCAGGGGAAGGGGGATGAAAGGGGCTCGAGTGGAAACAGGGGGGATGTCTATGGGATCCTCAACTAGAACAGGGATAACTAACTCCCCTCCTGGCAAGCAGAAGAAAAAGAAAGGAAATTAGTGTCCATTCAAGTCTGGCTGCTTGCAAACAAGCAACTGTTCACTCTAAAAAATGCTGGGTTAAATATAACCCAGCGCTGGGTTAAAAAGGGACAAACCCAGCTATTGGGTTGTTTTGACCCAGCTGTTGGGATGTTTTGAACCCAACCACTGGGTCAAAACAACCCAATAGCTGGGTTTGTCCCTTTTTAACCCAGCGCTGGGTTATATTTAACCCAGCATTTTTTAGAGTGTACATGACCAAAATAAAGCAAAGCAAGAACATTTGGAAAGAAATATGACAAAAAACACTCGTCTAAACCAATGGCCAAAACAAACCAAGAAAGAACTGAAAGAGAGAACAGAAATATAAAAATGCGAGGTAAATTTATCAAAAGGCTTGAAGGGACATGCAGGGTCTTGAGCTTTCTTTTTGGCATACTCTGTTTAATTGACCTCTACACAGAACACCTATTACTCACAATTATTGCACCCCTGCAACTTAGAGTGACTGAAACAAGCGAACCTTGAACATCTTTGTTTTGCTATGTGTACAGGTGAAAGTACAAAGCTGAGCCGATCCGTTTTGAGCAACTGCTCACATTGTGAATTCATTTAGGAAATGTATGTCTAAGCATCCTGTTGGATCAACGAACATAAGACCAATGAAGAGCGTAATATATGGAACACTCCCAAAAAATTATTGTATTGAGATTTCTAATTTTCTGAGCGGCTTATCAAGACTGTAGAGAAAATTACTTTATTTCTTTTCTCTTTCAAGTCTGTCACACTTGAGATGAAAGCCAATTGCCTTTTGACAGTTCTTATGAAATTGCCACAATGGCACAAGTCACATGACAGTTCAACAACACCTGAATGTTTAGTCTCTTATGTGAACACTATGTCATACCATATGTTATATGATTCACATCACTCAGTTTGACAGAGACAATTTAATTGTTGAGAACATAAACACATTGGGATTCACACTGACATTCATTTTTGGCAAACTATTGCATTTAGCTTGATTTACTGAATAAGGCCCAATGTTCTTATGATCGATTACACAGGAACATGTTCTGGTTGTTCTTCATGAAGGAGATCTATTATAAATTGGAATTGTTCTTGAAGTTATTATTATTTTTTTTACAAGTCAATTATTCAGATGGTGGTTGAATCTGCTCAAACTTTCGCCAAGGTGGCTTTGCTGATTACAAACAGAGGGCACTATAAGGCAACACAGGTCTTAAACAACGGACCAAAAGAAATAAAAGGAGAGGAAAGAAAAAATAAAAGCAATGCAAACAATGGTTAATGGTAAGAGCAAAGCACTAGAAACATTCGCAAACCAAATGCACAAAGAGTCAAAAAGAGAGTAGTAAAGTACATACAAAGAAAATTAGTCTAAAAAACAATAAGCCCATAAAACAATTCATCAAAAGGTGGAAGCATACCATCAGTTCTATGACTTACATCAACAAATTGCCCGCATGATTTTGGCAGGAAGAAAAAATTTACAAAAAATTAAGAAAGTTGTGTAAGAATGCTTGGGGATAAGTATGGTAAATCTGTAAGGATTTAATTAGGCAATCAATTGATCCTCTGATTTTATATATCATATATTTTTTTTCTTAGACAAGATGATACAGGGAGGCAACAGCACGTACATTCACACCATGACATGAAAAATAACTTCACCATTCTGCTCATTTGTTCTTTCTTTTGATAAATAAATCCTTTTTCTCTACAAAAGAAGACTGTACATTTTCTTTTTAAGATAATTTTGCTTTGAAGTATCTACAGATACATAATTTCTTTGTTCTTTTTTTAAATGAATTCTTAAACAACTGAATGACTGTACATACTGTACCGTTGCTAAGAGGAGAAGGGGAGGGACAAAAGACAGAGAGAGAGAAGGGAGAGAGAGAGAGAGAGAGGAGAGAGGAGGGAGAGAGGGAGGCCTATGAACAGACTAGGTAGGAAATGACATAGATGGAAGTGAACGTGTACATCAGTTGCCATGTCCATGTAAGGGCGGTACGAAGTGGTCGGGTGGCAATAGAGCTTTGGGCTGTAAGGAAGGGATGGGAATATATACAAACAATGAGCATATACATGCCCATCTACCAGATCATATAGCACTCTCAAGACTGACACTCTTACAGACCCTAAGCTGCAACTTCTGTCCAATGCAGTTTCCATTTTGGAATTTAGATTTCAACAATTTAGAAGTCAGATTTCAACTGGAAAAATGTTGACCAATATTTAAATGACTTTGAACATTTGGAGTAGATAGTGGTGAGGAATTAGCATCTTATTCTTTTTTTCTTTTTTTGTCTTGATAAATTATGTATATGTATAAATATATGTATGGCTGTATATACAGGTATATAGTTCTCAAATGCTTTTGCATATAGACTTAACATTGACCAAGCTAAACAAGAAAAAAAGAGAAACTAAACAATAATCAGTATAGAAATCATAAAAGAATATATACCAATGTACTGTTATTTGAACTTTGAAGGAGAATTCCATCCAAAAACCATTGCCAAAGATATGCTGAGAGCAAAACATCTGGATCACTTCATAATCAGACAGCTCATGGTCATTTCTTATTACTACCTAATTTTAGTGACTGACTTTAAAATCCAAGTGTTTTATTAATTATTATTATTATTATTATTATTATTATTATTGATTATCTAATCAAGCACAAAATGTTCCAAATGCCTCTAGTCAGCATACTGATCTGTAAAAACTATATGGAAATACAGCATTTTGGATTGAATTCTCTTTTGAATAATTTTATACAAAAACATTTAGATATACATATACAGTGGATAGATAGATATATACATATATAAATATAATACACAAACCAGAGGATATATATGTATACATGTATAAACACAAAAGCAATAAAAACACATAGAAATAACTGAAAATTCTCTCACACTATCAAGATTAAAATAATCAGAAAGCACATAGTGAAGTCAAACAGAAGAGGGACACTGTACTGTCACCACCTTCGCAACTAATAATACCATTATTAGTTTTCTTTTGTAAATCTCTTGTTAGTAGCTTGACAGCACAAAGCAGGGGTATATTTCAGGAAAAGAGGGAAAATCACTTTTTTTTTTTTTCACTGCAAGGTGAAATCATACTTTTTAACAAGTTGCATTTAGGGAAAGTAGAATCACAGCACTGCAAGCTGGGATCAGAAAGGCCGAGAACAGGGTTACAGGATATTGAGAAACTTGTGGGCAAAAGGCTGTGGTATACTGTATACACCTGTACCTACTTGAATCATACAGGTGAATCAACAAAATCTCAATCTCAATACAAAGATAAAGACCTACTGATCTTATGACCATTTGAGCATTATGTTAATCCTGAATGCATCAAGCCAATTTAGAGCAGAAATATTTGGCAGAAATCATTGTATAACCAACAGCCGTTCGCTCAACATTAATGACAATAAAGACTGGGAATTCCACAAAATGCCATCCTAATAAGACAGAATTTTTTTCTAAAATGTCTCTAACAGATATATTGAAAAACCATAATTCATTTAAATAAATATATTTCTGTTTGTATGTAGGAAATGAGAGAGATTAATATCTTGTGTGGCTGACCAATCTGTTTTTAACATTTTTTTATTTTTATATAGTTGATTCTGCCACTGATTACCTGGTGAGCTGCGTGGCATACAATTTAATGACTGCAAAAATTGACAATATTTACTAAACCTACGAAACCCTAGCATAAATTAGTTTACCAACTGAAACTAGTATACCAACTGGCAGGGCTGGACTGGCACAAAAAATCGGCCCAGGCATTTTTTGGTCCAGGCGGCCCACCACCATGCTCCGGTTTGAATCCCGTGTAACTACGGTTCGACAATCTGCATATAAGGAAGTTCAAATGGCACGGTTGCATCAACAAATGTGTTTTTATATCAGTTTTGCATTTGTTAACACTATCGGGTAGGTTTAGGGTTGGGTTTGGTGTAGGACATATTTCCAACATGACAGAGAATTAACTTTTAGCGACAGTTCCCGGATATTTGAATTCTGAACCGCCGCAATACGTACCTATATCAACGTAATAAAAACGTGCCAGGGTTCACGTATTGAACCCATGTTTTAGCGCCACTCAGTGGACATTTCTCTTTGAAACTGCGGCGAAACGTGCAGTAAGGTACGTAAAAACGGTGTTGCAGAAAAGTACCCAGAGGTACGTATTTTTATGAGACCAGGTTGGGTAAAAAGATTGCCTAATCACAGCTTTGTTTACTGATTCCCTAGACCATCCTGAGCTAAATTAATTTATTGACTAAGTTATATTATTGGCTGCTTCAGATGATTTCATCAAGATGAAAGCATCTACTAAAACCACAGACACAAAGACAGTGCCACAGTGGACCCCCACATGTCTCGGTAAATACTTTAATCTTACATTAGCACTTCAACAAGCAATGATAATTTTCACAGTGTTTTAATTCAACACAAACATTGTGTGCTTGTCTTAGGGGACTATATTTGTTTTGCAGAGCAGAGATAGGAGGAAATGTTCTTTGGGTTTAGCTCCATTACAAAGCAAACACTTCTACACTGCATTAAGCCTCCAGCTCAGATAGATGCAGCGTTCTCTGCATTTGCTTACAGGAGTTAAATCTTGTAAACAAATCTTAAGGGCCACCCTCTTTCTCAGCTGCTAAAAACTCTCTAAAAAAAAAAAAAACGTCTTCTGTGCAGAACTTTCAGAGCGGAGAGAATGTGAAACGAAAGAAATTAACCATAACAGCTGACATTCACAGTAGTGCTCTCTCTCTCCTGTGCCCCCAACCAAATCCGAGCATCCTTTGGTACAGATATCTGTGTCTAAACTCCGTGACCATCTTGCTTTCGCTGAGTCTTGCCAAACACTGATGAATGCCGCAGGTGTGTGGGGCTAAACCTGCCTGATCCCCTAAAAGAAGAGTCTGTGT